TTTAATTGTTTATTATAATATGTTTACATTTTCTCATCGTTTTCCTTTCAGTGCAGACATATCCCGTCTGGCAGTTTATGAAAATATGCGTAAAGTGTTGAATTTATTTGTTTAACAAACATTTTGACTTCTAGCTTTTGTTGCTGGGACTTTTAATTTGCTTGGCTTGTTCCGTTTTGCTTGGCAATGAGTGGATGCAGCCCGAGCAGCTTGTGCGCAATTATTCATGCAATATGTCTGCGTCTGCTTACTTCCAGCCGTCGTGGACCCCATGGCGGATGATGAACGATGACGGCTTGCCCTGAACGGCAATCGGAGATTTGGAGCCGCATAAATATTATATTAGCACCCTTGCGTCACATTCGGAACTAACAGGTGGCATTTATAGTCCGACCTTAACTGGATTAATTGTGTCCTTCCGCCATTAGAGCAGCCGGAAGTTGGCCAGAAGCGAATGGCTTACAGTCGTCGGGTCCTTGTCTGTGTATGTCCTTGGTCCCTTTTTGTGCGTTTTAATAAATTGTGTTTGTCGCATGGCTTGATTAGCAAAAGGGACCGGCAACCGGAGCGGAAGCAGCAACAGGTGCTAGAAGGTCGAGGGATTTGCTTAAAGTGTAAACAATGTTATTTTAGCCCTGGCGATGAAATCATGCCAGTTGAGGTTTAAACGGGTGGCAATCAAAAACAGAGCCACACTCAGGTGCTCTCTAGATGGCCGGTATTGTGGCTCCGTTTGGCGGTGACAGGTCAACCAGGCCGGTTTGCTGACACAGCCACTTAATGGGCCATTGTTTGGACCCACATCTGCAAATTATGAGCCGCACTCGGGAAATTACGCAGCACAAATTAGCCAGGTTCTGGATTGTTTGGTCGTGGCAGGGCAGAAGCATTTGACAGATGGCACAGGAAAAACCACGAAACCACAAACGCACATAGGTAATGCAAATGTAATTTGATTACACGGATTATTCGCCAACAAATATGTTTAATTTATGGCCTCTCCAGGAAGTCCATCAGTGCCACCTGATCAGGATGAGTGGTGAAAAGCAGCGTCCATTGGTTGCGTGCTCAACTTGGCCGCTCCGATTGATTGCATAACAATAAATTATGCAACGCACCATGATGCTGCTGCCTCTGCTCCGTTTGCCCACCTTGATGTTATTGGCGATTGCAGGTCCTGGACAAGGACCAGTCCGCCTGCCATTCACTTTTAAGTTTCAAGTGCTGCTGCGGGTGAGTGCTTTTAATATTCATCTAATGCACTCAACGTGTTGTAAGCCAGGGAATGGGTATTTTCAGGGATATTGAAATAATTCTAAAACTTCTATAACTTGAGGTATAGAATGGTTTTTTTTAAAGTTAGATGGTAACATTTTCTGTTCCAATTAAACTAGTTCGACCTTAGGACTTGCAGTTATTAAAACTCGACTGTATTTGTACGGTTTTATTTTCAATGAGTTGTTTTCAACATAAATTAATGAAAGTTCGGATTCACATATTCAATTTAACAAAATGTATATATAATAAATTGAGTCTTGAAATCGGATAAAATTTAAATCGACGATTGAGTGAAAATTTGAGGAGTATAGTGAGTAAGTACCATACAAATATAAGTAAAGATGACTTTATCATTTATATTCACTTTCATTTTATTACGCTTACAAATCAACCAATTTTTGATGTTACTTAAACTGTTTTTGTAATTAATTTTCGAACAGGGTATTAACAAGTTCTGAGCTACGGTAGAACCGCCTACATATTCTGCATTAGCTTCATTTTTCTTTGCAAACTCTTGTTGCTTTTGCTGCTGTTGTTTCGAGATTGCTGTTGCGTCTGCATGAGGCAGCTGCTGCAATTGAATCCTGTCCCGCGATGATGGTGTTCCGACGTGTGGGTGTGTTAAGTGAGTGTTGCCACCTGCAGGATGCTGGGTGCAGAATGCAGGATGTCGGGCTCTGAGGTGTGCTCAGTGCCCAACTTAGTATGGTAATCATTGATGTGCCATCGGCAATGCCGGAGTCGATCCAGCAGCCAGGCAATATTACGCATGCAGCTCGTGGGCGCACGTGACGTATGCGCAATATGGGCAGCTTCCACTGCAACGATGCTGTGTTTAGTTGTTTATGCATTCATCTTATGCATTGACTTTGATTAAGTAGTGCGGTATGCAAAATGCCTTTCTCCATTTGCTTTTGATACGGGGGTCGATAAATCCATTTTGTTCGACTATTTGTAATCCCATCGAGTGACGATCCCCCGCACCGCAATTGAGTTTCATATTGTCTTGCAATAGATCTCTGATTGATTGGTTTTACGCCCTGTCATCCTGGCTTGCTTTACTTCTGATTCCCCGGCAAATGTCAGCGACAGTCTGTCTGTCATCGAGCAGTGAACTCAAACGCCTGGGGCGGCAACGAAGCCAGACAAAACGTGTCCTTAGCTGCGGTTTTTAGCCCCGACTCTAATTGTGCTAATAGAGCGCTGGTAATTATAATTTAATAACATCCTCTGCCTCTGCCGGCTCTGACAACCGGCTCGTGTTTGCCATTAGAATTCTCTGTGTGTGCAATTAACAGCCTGGCAACGGCAACCAGGAAGAACTGAAAGGACTGGCATATAAAAATTGATTTATGCCACCTTCAAGGGCGGAGCAGGGCAATTTAATTGTAAGTCAAACAGTTCCCCGCCAAGTTTATGCAGTTGAGATTTAATTTGATTACACGCCGAGCTGGAGAGCAAGGTAAACATCTTCTGATTGCCTGAATAAGCAATGAGCAAAAGGAGCTTTGGAATTTGCCCCTGCCGAATGGGTTGATGCGAGCTGATGCAGAAGTCCTTGGGAACCTGGTTGTGGACCCTTCAACTCCAGCAGGTGCTGGCACATGAGCACACTGGCGCAACGGCCCACATGTGTATTAATAAACAAATTACGCAATTAATTACACACGCTGAGCGCTCAGCTGGGCGCAAAATGTAACACTTGGTGCATCCTTGGCCGGTCTAAAATTAAGAGCGTAGTGCACCAGCGCTCTGCGAATTTATGGCTGTTTTGCAGGCGCAACTTGTGCAGCCCATAAATGGCTGAGTGAATTGCTTTTGGAGTGCCGGAGCCCAAAAGTGGCCACTGGATCCACCGCCAGCCACATCAAGTGCTTCGCTCCGGCTGTTGGCGTCGTTCCGAGTGCTTTTCTTTATGGCCCGCATGGCATGGGAATGGGAATGGGAATGGGGACAAAAACACCGAACACTGAACACCGAACACTGAAAATGTATAAAAATGTGCCAGCTAGGCATTCTTTTCCAGCTCCTTCCCGTTGTCTTGTGCGCTCACACGGAAAAGCAGACAAAATGTATCTGTGACAGCGCAGCCAGAAATCCAGGATAACCGAGCGAAGCGAACGAAGGACGACAAACGAATATTTATTACAGGTGTTTGCCTTTGACTGACAGAAGGCACAATCTGGCGCGCACAACGGCAGGCCAGGAGCTTAGTTTCGGGCACTTCCCAGGGAAATCTCTCCCAACTGCGGGATACTGGATACTAGGCTTTAAGTCGGGGCCACACTCCATTGTTCGATTGTGCCAGCAAATTGATTTGGCATCGTCAGATGGTGCGAGCATCTTTTATCTGGCCAGACGATGGAAATTTCGTAAATCCGATTTAAAGAAAAATGAAATAAGATGCAAACCCAACCGGAGTTCCTGGGAAATCCCATACTAAAAGCAGAATACAGAAAGGCTAAAAATAACAACGGAAGCCAGAGCGGGATTCATTGTATTTTCGTTCTGCGGAACACGAAGTTTAAAGCGAGAAGGTAAAGGAGTGGAATTGCACTTTTTACGCATTTTGCCTGCGCTGACAGGACCTTCGCGACAGCTAAAAAAAGGAGGCAATCAAGGAGTCCGAGTGAATTCACCTGGCTGGCTATGCAAATCCACTTTAAAAATTTGCTCGCCCGGCAGTCGAGATTACCAGATAGCTTGGAATTGGCCAGAGCATTCAAAGGATATCATCATCATCATCATGATGGCGGTCATTTTGATTAGAAGCCCCAACGTTTAGTCGTGAGTTGGGGAAATGGTGGGCTGTTCATGTGCTCGTGATGTGTAATTAATTTTGGGCAACATCTGTGTATCCTAATTAGAGGCGATACAAACACACATCCCCTCAGGGGGGCGTGGCCCGAGGCGTTTTCTTTTCATTTATCATTGTTACCGGACTAGCCCAAAAAGGGGCCAAAGGTTAGCGAGATAAAAGTTGGGATGTGAGTCGATTAAACGGGTAGAAATCAAGTGAATAATGACCGCAACAGCTCTTGCATGGCAAATGCCCTCCATCCTCTCCACTCAGCAAACCAGATTTCTATAGAGGTCCATAATCACTTCGGAATCGAGTATTGGCCGTTGGCGGAATTGTAAGCCAAAAACTTGGCTGAAAATCGTAAAAAATGGCAGAGCGCAATCAACGCTTCGCAGCTCTAATGGAAAATTGGGCAAATTGAAGTCGAGCAACTTTGTCATAAAATGAAATTGCTAGAAAAATCAACGAATGGTATAATCAGAATAAGGCTGGGCAGATGCCCCATCAAAAAGGGGCAAGTGTGTGTCCTTTTTCAGGCCAGTCATCCTTTTCGGTTGCTTCGAATTTGCCAATTTATTATGCGTTCCTTCTTTTATTTGGCCGAATGTCTGGCCAAAAAGGTTAACAAGCCAGAAAGCGTTGCAAATCAAAGGGAATTTTCACTGGCTGCAGGCGAATGCAGATTAAGGGAATCAAGAGCTTATAATTAATCAGATCTCTTGCTTCTTGAAAGGAAATCTCGCATGCGATTTACCCCAAAAGCGACTGTTGCGCATTGTGTTGGGAAAATTCTATTCAAACTGAGCTCTGTTCCGAGTCCCACTGTTCCCTGTTCTAGTTCACTGTGCCGCAGTCCATTCCGTTCGTTCGCCACGAGGCCTGTGGGCCAACAGTTGGCGTTGAAAATTCAGTTCGTGTTGAAAATTCTGCCGCGCCGGTTGTGCCAATTTGCACGAGCGGAGAAATTCTGGTTAACGGTTCTTGCCGACGGCACATAACGGTAGATATTGTGGGTGTAGTCGGTTCAGTGTGTGTGTGCTTGTGTATGTGAATGGCCGAAGAGCCGAGCGGTTCGTGATCGCAAAAAACAGCTGTTTCCACCATTTTGCGAATTGAGTTCCTGTAAAGTCCTCGATCGGAATAAAATATTATTATATTTATTATTTCCGATAATTGATAACCAAAACTTAAGCTCGAGGCAGCTACGTGCTTTCTGACCGAAAAAACCAAAATAATAATATTCGCAAAAAGCGCATCGAGTGAGTGAGTGCATTCATAATGAATTCGCGAATTGTGAGACGAGTGTGAATGTGTCTTATGTGATTTTATTGGGTTTTCTTCAGCGCCGTGCATTTTTTTTTGCTAATCAAATCGCTCACTTTCGTTTCGTAATTTCCCTCATTAGCAAACAATTTTCCTTTCTGTCGCCGAAACAAACATAGCATTGACAAACTGCAATTTTCATAATTGTCTCGCTGTCACCCAGTGCACATATGCAAAAATAAACAATTCTGTTTATAGATGCCCCAAACATGATGTCAGCCAGCAGAATTGTATATCTTTGGCTGATTTGTGTCTGCTTTGTTTGAGCAATGACAGCAAGTAATTGTTTTGCCATAAATTGCCAGTGCAATGTTGCTATAGATTGCTATGCAATTAACAAATAAAACATATTTCAATCAAATTCTAGAGCAAACAAACTATTAATTTCTACAAAACTCGGCCTAGCAACGCCCAGTTGAAAAGATCTACATAGTACAGAGAACTCAAAAACCCAAAACAAAAAGCGAATGCTGAGTATGGAGATTTTAGGCAAAATGCGTGCAATTATTCAACGCATGACAACCAATTAATTGGCGAAAGAGAGCGAGTGCAAACACAAACAAAACCCGCGGGGCAACAAGTCTAAAGGCCCCAGAAAATATATGGCTATCCGGCGAGCCGGTTAACGCCTGCAAGTGCATCGGAAAAGCCACTTGACCGCTTTTCCAAGCGATTCGGCCGCTTGCTAATCTCGCCCAAAAAACTCCATTCACAATCGCCATCGATATCGCGATGATTTATGCAGGTGAGTCTGCTCGACTTAAACGCACTTTGCGAAATTAAACGCAACCGAAATAATTTTTAGGTATTTAAATTCAGTTTGAGTTTAATTCTTAATAAATTAAAATATTAAATTATTTAGTAAGTTTATTAGGCGCGATAAAGATATACACAATCAAATCAAATAAATCTTTGCGTTATCATTGAATGGCAGGGACAAAACATTTAACCAATAAAATTATTATTTGCATACGCTAATGAATAATCTAGTATTTTGCAATAAACTTTTTATGACTCGTATTTTATTTGCTCTGTAAAAGCTATACACTACAGTTTATTTTAGTTTATGTAATGTATTCTTTATAGTTAAAGTACAAAATTAGAATATCAGAAAAGCAAACTAAAAAGCTAATTCTTAACAGTTCAATTATACGTTCCTTTAGGGTTTTTACATTTTTTAATCTGGTGTATTGTAGACCGCTCTTGAGTTTGATTCATACAATTTATAGATCGGCTGGAGCAGAAAGCCCAAAGCTATGGATTGGGCATTGAAAACAATCATTAGTGCCAAACGGAACGGGCTATAAATCCATAGACTCAGTTAATTACAAGCCCATATCATCATCCGTGAAGGCGACGTCGCAATTAGCAGGAGGGGAAAGGCGCGTGGCATACAAATTACGAAGCAAAACGGAAAATTCGTCAAGTGTTTTGTGCATTTTTGCGGTTTTTTTTTCACACAGAGCTTAGCACGTGCCCGTCCGCCTTCGGTTTCAGATTTTGTTTATTCACTTTCGGTAGCCTAATTAACTAAATTGGCTGGCTTGTTGACAATGGAAACCAAAGTGTGACCGTCCCACCACTTGGCAAGGGTAAGAGTTCTTCCGCCCATCTTCCGAGTGTGAAGCTTACCAGACACAAAGGCCAGTTGACAGGTGAAATGGGGGCAAACAATGGAAGTTGTTTTGACAGGGCCCACAATGGCCCGAACGGCCGAATAATGCGGACAGACGGGTTGCCGGCCGAACGGAGCGAGAGGGAAATGTAGTAATAAATTAGGTTTTCAAATGTATCCTCATTTATTTCAACTTAAAGTGTGAAACACCAGGCAGCCTGACTTTTATTTAGTGACAGTCAAACAGCCATCCCCCATATGCGACTGAAGTCACGATTCTCGGACATTAATTACCCCGGTTAACCAAAACCGAAGCTTTAACTGATAACATGGGTGAATAGACACAGACCGAGATTCGCATACCCTTAAATGAATGTTAATGGCTTGGCTTTTAGGAGATTACATTTATGAATTTTTTATTGTATTCTAATGTCTTTGCTCTTTTATTTTTTGTGATTTTTAAATTCTGTGTTGTACTTTAAAGTAATAATAGAAATGATGAAATGTTATTTATCTTAAAAAAAATGGGCCCACATTTTAAAATTTGTTCTCTGTGCTGATCACGTTTTGACCAAAGTTCCTAAAGCCAGCTTTGGCAATATTCATGCCTCGCCAGGCACCGGGAACTGCGAACTCCGAGTGGTAACAAAGCTGGCCCTAACATAATTCTGTGTTATGTGCAGCGCTCTGTGAAGGCATTCAAATTGCTTCCTTGTCCAGCTAAAAACAACAATGGCAACCTACGTGCATAAGCCACCGAAACCTGAGATTCTTTAGCCCAGTCGAACACAAAAGAGCGTCAGCATAGAATTGTGCAACCAGCGGAGCAAATGACTTGCCACTCGGCCCGAGGGGGAAACTTTACAAACAAAGAGGGTCGAAATGCTGGAGGGGAAAGCCCACACGTACTTGGAAATAAAACAAACCAAACCAGTTGAAATATATTAATGGGGCGGGCATGAAATTGTTTTAGGTGTTCGCTGCCGCAGTGTGTGTTGGCATTAAACTTGGCATTAAATAACAATAACCCGGCAATAAAACGGGGGGAATGTGCAGGAAGAACCCTTTCACTTTCGTTTTCAATCCTCTGCTCGTTTTTTTATGCCCCTTTTCGTGCCATTTATTGCGATTTTCTCACCTCGCGACCTGCTGTTTGGCACACGCGTCGTATGCGCAATGAGGCTCATGTAAGAACAGACAAGCGACAAGAAAACAATGGCAAACACACGATATTGCGTATGCGGCGTGTGGGCCGGGAACCTGCAGAGCGTGCCAGTCTGGGAATGAAAAGTATCTGCCTTAATGTATTTAACACTCAGCGAGCACTCTTTTATGACCCCACCACGAAAATGGTTTTCCTCTCCTATTTCATTTGGCTCCTTCGAGCGATGATTGTGCTTTGTTGCTCAGGTGGAAGGCAATCAAATTTCCCAAGAGGAGATCTCGTAAAAGTTTTGATTGACACGCAGTGGCCTGCAAATTAACAGCTCATTGCAATGCAGCCGCAAAGTGGGGGCACAGCCAAATGAAGCATGAAGGGCCAATGGCCATTGGCCAAGAGCAACTGGAACGGAAATGAGTTCACTGCTCGTGGCGGGCTTAGCTCTTGAAAAATCACCTAATTCATTTAAATAAGCAAGAAGGAGTCAGCGCCGAAAGCGGGCCGAGTCCATTTGCCCAAAAAGGACCTTAAGATGGCGCCTTTGCTTTTATCTACAAAAGTGGGATGCCAACGAGGCGAGGAGTCGTCGAGTCGACAAACTAATTTAAAAATCCACTTGCTAAGCGCTTACCACCTCCCAGTTCCACGGTCCATCGACCGAAGAGGCCACTCTCTGGAGGCCAGGCTATTTATTTTTTCATTCCTTGCCTTTTATGATGATTTTGCACTGCGTGGAAATAGTAGAGCAAACATTTTAGCCCCCAAGTGTTTAAATATAAAGCGGAAATGAGCTTTACTTCAGGTCCTTCGGACCTCTCTCTCGCTTTTCCTTTCAGCCGAAACGTGCCAAATGAACTGGGGACCCGCAAAGAACTTGAACTCGACTGACTAAGTGTATATTGTAAGGGTGTATATAGTATGAAAATGCTAATTAATGACTGCAACTTTCTTCGCCAGACACTTTTGAATTAATTGCACACCTCCACGAGTCAGTCCAATTCCCATCCGAGAATCGTGCGAAGTGCCAGACACGAGCCATGTTTGGGATTCCAACGCCCAGCCCAGCCACGCCCGGTTCGTATTGTAGATAAACTCGCATTTGCGATTGCATCGAATGCAAAGTAAAAAATATATATTTTTGTGTGCTTGGAAAAGCAATTTATGGATTTGATTTCAATTGTTTTGTCATATTGATTGGCAGCCCGAATTGGCAACAACTCATAGTTTGGCAGCTCTGGCAGCTCGCTATCTGTTCGATGTCAATTGTCTTTCTCATCCCAACAATATGACTTGTTTGATGCTCGCTTAGTCAGTGCCGAACTTTGGTCCCGCAGCGAAATCAAATGTTTCAATTCATTTGATTGGTTTCCTGGGTGTGTGTCTATGTAATTAATCTAATTTGCAGCTTGCCTCCTCCCGTGCAACATTCGGCTTTTTTGTGTGCCATATCGTGCGTGTTGATACAAGTTAAACCCAATACCAGTCAATGGAATCCTGCATCTGTTCATGCATTCACTACAGTGACATTCATTAGTTAATTGATCAAGCGTAGCGAAATGTGTAAGTCTTTGGGCTTCAAACCTATTCATACCACTTTTTCAACCGTTTTTTGTTTTGTTACTGAAACGCTCGGCTCAGCCTCTGCCATGAAAATTCTTTTATGACAGCATAAAATCCAAACACAAATTATTTCACACATAAAAAAGCAAGGCAGCGAGAAACGAAAATACAAATGTGTAGAAAAGTCCGACGAACATAATGCGACATAGACAGCCAGAAGCCGACATAGACAGACGCAGGCATAAAAGGAAAAGTTGTCGGCATATATAAAGTCCTGCACTAAAGCATACTATATAGCAGGACGATTCCAGCGAGAGTGTGTGCAAACAGAGAACCAAAGTGCCCAAAGCGTTTTCACAGTCAATTTTGTATGTAAAGGCAAAGACAAGACAACGCCTGACATGAATGGTGGGCGAGGGGCTTGGAGTGAGTATGGGAATGGGAATGGGATCTGCAGATGGAATAAGGCACGGGTTTGGCTTAGTGTACATTTTTATATTTCGTTGTGCATGGCACATAAAACCTTTTGTTAGCTGGGGTGCATGCTGGCTGGGCTTGTATACATTTAGGACGGCAATGAGCATGAAAGCCTTTAACTGCTCACACACCAATGTACACAATTTTTAAGTAGTTCTCTGGTGTAAAAGGCTTAAAATATTATTCCTTAAACGATTACACAGAAGAAATGTGTAAGAAAACGATTTAAAAAAGAGGTAAAAAATCTCTTTGTTTTAAAAATTCTTAAAATATTTTGTTTTCAAGAAGCTTATTTATATAATACTATTATTATTGTTACCTATAAGAAAGTTTTTGTTAAATATTTAAAAGTTTTGTTTAAATAAACGCCTCTAGTGGGTTTTACAATGCAAAGTTTTCTTTGTACATATTAAATAATTTATTGTAACTATTACACCTATAAGGGACTTTTAACATTTTTCGGAATATTTTGCAACATTTGAATATTAATATTAATACACATCAAGCTCGAGGGAATTTGCTGTAAGTTAAAAATAACTATGGTTACCCCGAGCTAACCACAGAAGAGCAAATTTAATATGCCCTAAATGCGCCTTCATTACTCTGCACTGATTCATTAATTTGGCTGGCCAAAAATAAATGTGTATAAATACTTCCGCTGAATTAACAATAATCCTGTTTAGCAAACACAAACTTAGCATAAAGTAAACAAGTCGGCGGCATAAAGTTAACCCCAGTCCAGATGTTGGTCGTTGTTGTGCCGAGACATTTACCTTAGCAGTGGCACAATGAATGGCAACAATGGGGAAAAACAAATGCAAACAGGCACTCAAATGAATGCGGGATACAAAGGAAACGCGAGGCGAAGGCAAATGTAATGACACTTAAGTGGCCCTGAATCTCAATCTCTTTGCAGTCGAGTGATTTCGCCATGTCGCACTTGGCAACACATCGCTTTTGGCCATCACGTCGATGACGTATGCAGAAGTTGGTTCGCATTGCCAATTCTCTTTATGTTTTCTCAGCTTTCTGCTTCTGTTTACGACCATCTGGGGTATTATTATTCAGTTAAACATTGAATCATTTAATACTATGCGAAATTAATGTTTGAAAATATTATATCCTAAGTGGTTTACTCGGGGTTCTTAGAATTTCGCATTCAACACTTTATTTGCTCTTAAATTGCATTGCATTTAACAAATATGGTAATGAAATAAATAAATAGTACCCACCTTTCTTATCTAGAATCCTCTTTATTTCTACATACATGCCCACAAATTCCATTTGACTTACAAGCTCGAAATTAACCCTTTTGCGTCTATTTGCTCGTAAGCCACTTTCGTTGGGAACTCACGAGGCAACTTATAATTTCACCAGGCCAGTGAATTGTGCATGCTACGCACAGTTTTCCCCTAATTCGTCGGAAGTCACTCGCTTTCCGGTTGAGGATAAAAGAGCCTGCACCCTGCACATGACATGCCAGCCATCTGCAAATGTGGTGCACATTTTCAGCTCAGAGCCGGTGAGTTAATTTAATTTAGCGTACACGGGCATAAATGAGATCAGTGGATGATGGGCTCAACGTTCCAGGCGGTGTAGATATGACACACACAAAGCCCAGGTATAGCCATTATGCAAACGCCTGTTAAATTTGCATACGTTTTCGCTATTTAATCTCTCCAGTGGAGAGGAGATGCTTTAAATAATGAATCAATGCTCTCGTGCCAGACGGCCATAAGGCAAATATGAATATATTTATTAATAGGTGTCCACTCTGGATGGTCCTGGGTGTGCCCGCTTGAATGAATTGGTATTAGACGGGCCCAAGGGAAGCGAATGCTGAATATCATTAAATACAAATTATGGTTATTAGCGGATTTCTGGCGAAGGCCAGGCCCTGACAATGATTTGACCTTCTTGGCCGAAACGCGCCTGAAATTTAAATGACGCATTCGGTACTATATTCATATACAACGGCTTGACCAGAATGAATTCGGATATTTCGGGAACGTGGCCTTATTAAAATATTTTCATTTAATATGCGCGAAGCTTTCCAACTCGGTCGCACCCAAGACTTATTCAATTTTTACTATGTTGACAGCCAAGCCGGCGTTTCAGTTCAGTCGCCACGGTCAAGGGACACGCTCAAGTTATTAAACATTGATTACCTATCGATTTTATCCTTGTTTTTTGTTATTTTCCTGCTCCGATTTCGTGCCCCTTGTGTCTGTGTGGGCTGGGACTTGAAATGGAAATGTAAAAGATGGCAGCAAATGCAAATTACCTGTGAAAATGCAATTTCTCATCTTTTCACAGTTGCCGCAACGCAGTTTGACATTTAATTTTCGGAACCAAGGAAAAGGCCATCTGGAAATTCGCTTGTCAAGCTGACAGCGTGTGAAATGGAAGAAATGGAATAAATTCAGGGTATAAATGTGGAAGAAATTTCTGCGGAATGGCCAAATTAATCAGAGCGAGGGAGTGGAATTGGCTTTAAGGATTATCAAAGTGGAAACTGCATTCAGCAGACAGAAGTTGCCGAGGCTCACTCAATCAAAATTGAGTTACTCGTCAGTTTTTGTTGAACAACTTACTTGTTTATTTATTTTCCGCATAACTTTTCAGTGGAATGCAAGGCTTGAAAAGTTTCACGGCTCCTGCAAAGTCACTTGCAAAAGTTTCTTGCCAGGCAATTAGTAAATTCTGATAGCTTTTGTCAGCTAAGATACTCGCAAGAGAACCGATTGGATTTATTGATTGTCATCTAAGTGGCTTGCAGAACTTTACAGGACAAAAAACGGTTTGGACTATCTTCCGATTTAACGTCTCTCGAAGCTCTGGCAACGTGACATTTTAGCAAAAAATATAGAATATAAAGCAATTGACAGCTCAAAATTGCTTTTGATAACTTTCTAAGCTCACACGAACAAACTGACAACTTGCCATCTTTTGTTGTTCTGTTGACTTGTTGAACGATAAATTGCGTATACGCCGTGTGATTGATAAAATCTGATTGCCCGTTGGTGCTGACTGAATGCTCTCTTTTCAGCTATTTCTTGCAGCTTGTGTGAATTATTCTACTGTATTGGCAAATAATTGACATCAGAGCGTTTGTTTGATATGTAAACCACGGAAAGTACAAACACCAGAGTAAACAGCGATATTGCCCAACACGAGCCAAGTATTTGGGACACATATTGACACTGACCCCGGAACGGAGTGGTTCTGGATGGAGACAGCCTGCGGGTGCCGGGGCCCACGAGACGCGCAGGGATCAACTGGAGCGACGGCATCGGCAACGGCAACGACATCGGCATCGGTATCGCTATTGGCACGGGCATCATCAGCGGCTTTGGCCGGTGGTCGCCAGGAACAACCGCGGTGTCAACAACAGCGGCCACATCAACAACATGGCCATAAAGCAACAGCACCCAGCGAGCTGTAATTCATGGTTGCAACTACCCAACGAACTGCTGATATTGGTGAGTAAAAATATCTTAGACGAGAGCTTAAAGGGGTGATTCAAATGGTGTTTATTCTTAGAGTTCAAGGAAGCTATTTTAAAACAAGGGGTGGTCTCTATTTTACATTGGTTTAATAAAGTTCTTACAAATAAAATCAAAACAGACGCTATGCTATTAAATACCTAAATACCCTTACTCCAGATACAAATAGTTGTTCTGTGCGAGGGTTAGTCAATAGGAAAATGGTTCAATAAGTTTAATGGTTCAGTTTACGTCCATGAAATGTGCTGAATTTTTAAAAGGTTTTTTTAAAACATCGGAAATCTTCCGATTTCCTTTAGCACACAAAATTACAAATAATAAGATTCAGGGCTCTTAAAAATGTCACAAATTCCATGGCTGTAAACAAATAAAAAAGAGCTTAAAGTTAATTAGTGGGTTAGTTGTACAATAATTATTCTTACTTTAAAGTTATATTTTTTAAGAGTTTTGGTAGAAACCTAAATATGCTTAGACGACTTTATTTCAGATTAAATGACTTTCCTTTAACAGTTGTAAATACGATTGCTATTTATAAATTCTTCTAAGATTCTTTAAGCTTAAAGGGGCTCAAGTTCTATTTTGACCTCCATCAAGCGATTATTTTCTATGACAGGACGAGTTCTTTTGCTCGTATCTTGATTTCTCTGACAACTTACACAAACAGCAATCAATCAAATAATTTGCTTGCGACTCTATTTACCCTAAGGACTTGTGAGAAATGGAATGCATGTCGTGCACAATTAGTCAAGCTGGTTGTAGAAGTTGTGCTGTGCGTTAAAAATTTAGTTGGCAACATTTCCTGTTATTATTTCCGTTGCTCCTTGCCGTTGTGGCAATGTGGCACGCACGTCCTGCCTGCCACGCCCCCTCTGGGCCTCATCAGGCGGTGCGCCCTCTAAAAAACGAACTGTGTGACTGTGTGTGACTGTTGAAGGCACGTCCTAGTTGTATGGCCATAGCCGTGTTGCTGCTGCACCAGCCCAGCAGATGTCAGTTGCACATTTCGCCGAAGGCGAAGGCGAATTTATCCTCCCACCCTGCCACATCAACGTCCACGCCCATGTCCTCGTGAATGTTGCAATCAACTGCGACATGCTGATGTGTGTGCGCCCGACATTGATTATCTTGTAGTTGTCTGTTTGCCTAGCTGCTGCAGTTTCTGTTGGCGTTGGCCAAATGAGCGGCAATAAATCCAATGAATATACGAGTGTATCCACACACACCGAAGCTGGATGTCGGGGACACTTCTATTCGTCTCCGGCAGATGCTCGTAAAGTTGCGCACACTCGAGCCACACGTCCCATCGTAAAACGAGCAAAACCAGCAAAGTGAAAAAGCAGGGGATCTGTTAATGGCCCGACTTCTAAGCATTATCAGCCAGGCGAGCCATTAATTAAATTTTAATTACTTGAAGTAATTTTCATAATAAATCAGCTCTTCAAGTCAACCCGGCAAATGTACAGAAGACAGCCTCTTGACGAAACCACTCCAGATATCACTTCAGCAGTTCACAAATCTCGGCTTATGTACAAATCCGGTGAACACATCGAGCAGCTTTTCTGTCCTGTCATTTGCATTTGATTTTCAACTACGGACTTTTCCGAGCCCTAGGATATAGTTTCGAATGTTAAAGTTCAGGCCTGGCTGCCTTTATTTGGCCAAATGGTGGGGGCTCTGTGTTCGGTCGCCATTCGCGCGCAATTATCAGAATTAAATTAAAAGTTTTTGCGGGAGCTGTCGTCTGGGAATTGCAGTTGGCAGAAATCAGCAAGCCGCAAAATGGTTTTATCTGCTTTGGGGACTGCCTTTGCGGCTATGTGTAATGGTCCGGTTTCCGGTTATGCGGCCACTGGAAATTGTTGCGAATTTCGCGTTTTAATTCAACTAATTTAGCGGTCGAAACTACGCGTCCGGCTAATTGGTGGAAACTTGATTTTAGCCCACAAATGTTGCGGTTTATCATGCTCATGCACTTACTGAAATAATCCTTTGATGCGAAATTGTATTTCATTTAAGCTCATTACAAAGCGTTAACACACAAAAACGACAATTATTAAATCAAATACAATGCTCTAAATAATAGTTGGCTGAAATTGGACTATTTCATTGCTTGTTGCACAGCACATGCCCACCTTCCAATTTATTTCTCTGCCAACTTTTCAGATATCTGATTTGCTAGAATTCCTCTAGTGCTTTTATTTTCTTTTTCCGTGCTTTTAATTTCCTCTTTAGCTGTGCCACACAAATTGAATTCAGACACTCCCCTCTTTTAGGGAAAAATTGAAGTACATTTATAAAACTTCACCTGCTTTTCGGGTCATTGTGACTGTAATTTAATATTTATTTTGCGGTAATGGAATTTTATGCTTAATTTGTGTGCACAAGTCCTGTCAGCAACATGTCTCTATGGGGTTTTGCTGAATATACATTTAAAATTCCTTGTTGAGGTATGGTAAGCTGTTTTTGCATCTAGACAAAATCAATTTGATAGTTAGTTTTACCAAGAGATATCAACGTAGACTGTATATATTGACTATCAATAGCTCCACTTTTTAGAGCTTCTCCGTCCTGATTTGATGAGTCCTAAGAAAGGAATATGTGAAAAATTGTTGTATGAACTGGTGTTCTTGCATCTAGGACAATGAGAGAAAACCAATTTGATGTTTAGTACCAAGAATTATCAACGTAGACTGTATAAATAGACTGTCAATAGCTCCACTTTTTACAGCTTCTCGTATTGATTTGTTGAGTCCTAAGAAAAGAATATTTAAGGAATCAAACGATTGGGAAAAAGTAAATTCCTTGTAAATGCAAAATTGAAAAACCTTTCAAGTGAACCTTTCATGTAGTTATTTATCTCCAAATAAGTCCCCAGTTGTCGAGAATGAATGAGTAAAAGTAATTCGTATTTTTAATAAATATGTATGATTCACGGAAAATGTTTGTGAACTTTTTAACGCCTTTTGACATTTTAATTTCGCCTAAGGAACTCCGCTAACTTTTTAATGCTGCGGTAATTAAATTTAATTTGCTTCAAAGCGTCACCCCTGCTCTTTATGTCATCGTCAACTAGGCGTATGCGTAATGGAACAAAAAATACGTGTTGCATCCGCAAGCTGACCAATATTATACTCTTTAAATCTTAAGACATGGTAATTCAAATTGTTGTTTGCTATTAGACTTTATATCTATATACTATATTTTAAAAACATGTTGCAAAAAGAAAGTTTTAAATAAATTTATAATAACCTGTTGCTGTTTGTTACTGAATTGTCGCAGCACCTAATTTAGCAAGGGTATCAGCCAAAAATGAAATGCGTATACGCCTCGTGGGTGGCATAGGCAAAAAGCTTTTACAACTCGGTTTAAATGCCAATTATTTATTACGCTCGGCAATTTAATGTTGGAAAATTTCAGCGTGCAACTCAATTTGAGCATTTCTCATTATTAGCTGCCACAAAGCGAATTTCAGCATGCAAATTTTGTATGCCAAGAAAATGCCATCAGGAAGCATTTCTGCCATGGCCCCGGGAGAAAATGCTTTTAAACTTTACAACTGGCAACAATTTTCGCCAAGCTCCTCTTTGGCCTTTGCATTTTGTTTGTCATGTGAGTAATTTATGCGGGCCTCGTACACGCACTTCTTGCCCCGGATTGGCTTTATTGCGAAATACCCGATAGCTACTGCCAAATGTTGGGGCATATTTTGATTAACCTTTGGTCTAAATAGTCGCTCTCCATAAAGGTTGCACTTACTTTGCACTCGTAACAAAGGGTTACCTTGAACTTAACCCGTAATCAATGATTGGCCGAGTATAATTTACAAATCGATATGAGGTTATACGGCCGTTTGGTATTGTTTGTTTGATTGGCAACTTTGGGTGAACGAGTTCCCATGGCTCTCGACTTTCGCTTTTTTCCCCCATGGATTCTACGCTGCATTATTAAAAGCACCTTACAAAATATTAAACTGACCAAAACAGGTGTTCCTTAGCACACCGCCAACTGGCCCATGGGGCAACTTGCCAAAAGTTCACACAATAGGTTGCTATATGCCCCTCGTCAGAGGTGGTTTAGTCTTAAAGCAAATGTATATTTTAATCGATTTGTTGCGTGCTGTGAATATTTCATACCCGGCAATTACCCCGAAAAGCGACCCGGGGGATGTGATGGCTCTTTTCCCTGTTTTTGGGTGCGTGACTGGCAGTTGGCCGAACCATTAAAGTCAAAAATAATTTCAAATATTGATTAGTACCCAAATCGTGCGCCAAAATTGAATGCGGCTCTGAGCTCGTTCGATGGCAGTTGATTGCTTGTTTAGCTGATTTTGTAGTTTATCGAACATTAGTCCGGAAACATCAGCTCTTTGAATGAACATATCTTCATTCAGTCGCTCAATAATGGAAAGGCCTGTCAATGGCGATTCGCATGCCAATTCATTGATAGATTTACCCGACACACACAGACACATTATAAACGACCGTAATTAATTACGGCAATTAAATTGCAATGTGCAACTGCAGCTGAATACCAATTGAGCCAGATATGGCTTCTCCCTCGTTCATTCAGAAATTCCCCCTGGTCCTCACAGATTGCGGTGGTATTATGTTTCCACCCGTATTTAATTTTCCATTATTGGTGCAGGTCAGCATCGGATAAGATTTAAAGGTGGCCTATGTTGTCTTACAAAACAATTAAGCAAATATGCCACCGGCGTTATGGTGTATCCTCCCTTATTTTTTCATCTCTGCTGCACATTCTTTTCCATTCTTTGTTCACTTTAGTCCCTAATTGCCCTATTTCTGTATTTATGACTTAAGGCGAATTCTTTTTTCCTAGCAACGTATTTTCTCTACCTCTATCGCTAATTAAATTTTGAAGTAATATAAGGAATAATTGAAAAAAAGACACTTAAATTGAACTAAATATTTATGGGGTCTGAATTAGTTTTTTACGGCAAAGACTATAGATTACAATTTATATTCTAAAGATTCCAATTATCATTAAGTAATTTGTAAACGGGGCTGTTTCAGTATTTAATCCCAAAATAGAGTAATGCCTTTTGGCCATGTCGAAAGCACGCACATTTAGATATCGTTTGAGCTTCCTTGTTTTCCGACCACTTCGTTCATTTAAAGCCTATTTATAGACCAGGCTTTTATAAATTAATTACGTTCGCGAGGATGAGGCAGCAATTAGCCCAGCAGTCTAATGGGTTTTGATAGGAGTTTCCTGCTCTGTCTGTTACAGGTGGTGAACACAGATACACACCCATCTCAAAAGTACCGCCATGAATGAGACAGAGTGCGACGATCTCATCAAATCTGTGAAATGGACGGAACCAGCCAATTTGATCTCCCTGGCCGTACTCGAGTTCATCAACGTTCTGGTCATCGGTGGCAACTGCCTTGTGATTGCCGCCGTCTTCTGTTCGAACAAGTTACGTAGTGTGACAAACTTCTTCATCGTCAACCTGGCTGTTGCCGACCTTCTAGTCGGTCTGGCGGTGCTACCCTTCTCGGCCACCTGGGAGGTCTTCAAGGTAAGTTCTAACTTTCAGTATTTAATTGGACCTATGACTTATGGGAATTAAATAAATTCCCTGAGCTCCAAAACTACATATTCTACAGACAGATATGTTTAAGATAGGACATACGATAGTACAAATTTGACCTTGCAGTATACAAATTAATATAATATTAAATATTAATATTAAAAAAGGCAACCAAACCTTTTTACTGACATATAATTTCATTTCCTTATAAATTATTATCTATTAAGGCAGGCTTGCACCTTGTGAGGTCAAAAAAATCAATTTTTTTTTTTTGCAGTTTCGGATACATACATGTTTCAATTTTATTCTCCTAAAATTTCAAGTCGAAATCTCTTGAATTACGAAAGTTAGCGGCCGTTTGGTGGACCGGTGTCAAGCGCGTTGCCATTATAGTGCAAATTTTCAAACGCGTTTTTCTCGAAACCATGTTTTCCGAGTTGGCGGAAGTCGTACAAGCCGCAAAAATTGAGCAATCGTCATGAAATTTTTTATACATGTTCCTCAGAAGTATGTGCATGGCATAGACTAGGATGTTTTGAAAATATTAAAAATTGTTTATTTAAAAAAATAATTAGTAACGAAAAAATGAGGAAAAAACCGATTTTTTTTTTAAAAGCTCATAATTTTTGCATTTTTTATGTTTTTTCAATTATCCTAGTTCAAGCCATGCGAGGAAGTGTACAGATTAAGAATATATTCGTTTTTTGCGTTTCAGATTATTTCTTAAAATTCCAAAAAATTCGCCATGAGGACGAGTTTTCGCGGACATGCCGCCATTGTTGGGTACCCCCCCCCCCCTCGCTAGGATCGCACTCAAAAAAATTGTGTAGCTTCAATAAACTGTACCCTACAACTGGCTAAAATTTTATTCCCACACCTACCATACTTTCCAAGAAATAAATTTCAGAAAAAAATCAGGTTTTGGGCGCCAACAAGGTGCAAGCCTGCCTTAAATAAATAAAAACAAGACGTTTTTTTAAATTGGTTAAGTTTTTCTTAGTATTTTAAATGCCTTTTCCTTTAACCATTTAGTCATAATTTCATAAAAGATACTAAATATATTTAGCTCTAAAAAATTCCTTTTAAATTGGTTATGTGGTTTTTAGGAAGAAAAGCGAAATATTCCTCAAGTTAATTGTTTAAGCAATTTAATTTTAAATTATAATTAAGATACTATAAAAATATTTCAAAAAATGTATTTAATTTTATCCACCATCTATTTTCCACTAGGTTTGGATATTCGGCGATCTCTGGTGCCGCATTTGGCTGGCCGTCGATGTCTGGATGTGCACGGCATCGATCCTGAATCTGTGTGCCATATCTCTGGATCGCTATGTGGCGGTCACGCGACCCGTCACCTACCCAAGCATAATGTCCACGAAGAAGGCCAAGTCCTTAATCGCCGGCATTTGGGTACTCTCATTTTTTATTTGCTTTCCGCCGCTAGTCGGCTGGAAGGATCAAAAGGTGAGTTTGGGCGGCAACTGGCCCCCAAGTGACCCGATGCGATAAATTAACAAGTTAGGAGCGGTTTGTCTATGCCAACCCTAAAATCAAGCCAAAAGGGCCGTCAAAAATTGAAAGTGGGTAAACTGTATCTGGCACACTCAAGCCCCACAAAGAACAAAGCCAGGCGACGGCCCAAAGTTGTTTTTCCGGCCCGAAACTGAGGGCCATTCTGTCATTGACACCATTTTGGGGGCTGCCAGTGGTTGCTCAACCACAATGGCACTGGCTCGTGCCGAAGACTGCAATCTGGCTCATTTGTGCCAAAATTACCGTAAAACAAGACACGAGTTTCGTCCTTTTTTCGGGGGGTCCCCTTTTCTAATTTCCCCCTCCGCCGCCGACGTCTCCGTCTCAGGCATTATTCTTACGCAATGGCACTGATAATGATGTGTTACACATGCCGCAACAACGCTGCCAACACGCTGGGAGTACAATTTATGGGCACCCCTGCCAGTGGGTAATCAGATCAGTCGGGATACATGACTGGCCCTTGGCCCAGCGCCAGTTTATGGCCCTGCCTTTTGGCCGACTTTATTGTAGACTGCTTTGCCCCACCAGACATATCAATCCAAAGTCTGTTTCAAGGTGCCGATGGCTTCATCGTGGCAACACCCGCATTGCTGCACACGAAAATGTGTCTTTCCGAGGACAACAACATCAGCCTCTCGCATTCCATTCGACTTAATTCAATTCAATTCACAACTGCAGCGGCTGAGTGCAGTTGAAAGGGCCACGTTTGAATGGATGGCATTCAGCTGGCTGGCATATTGAATCCCGGTTAGCGAGCCGAGGCTGTTGGCATCGATTATTACTGCGCCGCTCCACTCCGCCCGATTCAATTTCGAGTCCTGGCTGCAGGATGCGATGGGTGGGGCAACATGGCCCAACAAGATGTTCCCACATACTCGCACAGCTCGCGGCATTTATTTCGTTGGGCTGTTGTTACGCCACCTTTTCGAGTAATATTTATGCGCAACACGTCGGCGAATATCTCTGGCAATATAACCCGCTTTAAGTTGCATTTTTATTGGCTTCTTAGCGCAGTGAAGAGGGTGCCAGGACGAGGCTGGAATTTTAATGGGGTCCTTTAAATATCAAGTGTCATCTCCTGATCCCATGTATATCTACCATCTACCATCTCCCATTCCAGGCGGTCATACAACCGACCTATCCAAAGGGAAACCATACGCTTTACTACACCACCACGATGTCAAGCTCGGAGGATGGTCAACTAGGGTTAGATAGCATTAAGGAACAGGACGAGGCCTCGGTGCCTCCGCCACCACAGCATGTGGGCAATGGCAATGCCTACAATCCCTACGATCCCGATTTCGCCCCGATCGATGGATCCGCGGAGATTCGCATTGCGGCCATGGGCCTGAGCAGTACCACCACCACCAGCAGGACGACAACAACAGCCAGTTCGAGCAGCACAGAAACGGAACCGGAAATGGACCTCGATCTGCTGAACGCACCGCCGCGGAACAGAGCCGCCACCATTTCCGGCAGCTGTCCCTGGAAGTGCGAGCTGACCAACGATCGGGGGTACGTTCTCTACTCCGCTCTGGGGTCCTTCTACATACCCATGTTTGTGATGCTCTTCTTCTACTGGCGCATATACCGGGCCGCCGTCCGCACCACGCGGGCCATCAATCAGGGCTTCAAGACCACCAAGGGTAAGTCACATCCGTAGCTAACTGAATCCCAGAAACCACCAGCTCATTTGGACACGATTCGTTTGATCCTTGTCACCCACAATTTGTCCTAACGTGTGTGCGTAGCTAACAGTTTGGTTTTGATACTCATCTCTCTCTCTCTCGCCATATATATTTATATATATATCTGTTCGATTTACCAAATACTCGTAAGTAACGTAATCACGTAGCTAGTTCATTTTATTAAAGCTTTAATATCGATTGCTAAACAGTTTCAAATCTCTCAACGTGTAGTCAATAGTGTGACGTCCCGTTTGTCCCGTTTTATTTTGGTTACCGAAAAAGTGTACAGACTCACACCGAGCATTCCAGACGCCCTCACGAAACCACCCACTCGTCCTTGCCCACGTCCCCGTCCTCGTCCTCGTCCTTGTCCCCGCCAGTAGTCGCCCCCTGGAAAGCATAAATTGTCGGTGGAGTAAATAACAACTCACTGGGCGTTCGTGTTTGGGGCCCCTACACGGTGCTCGGCAAACATGAGAGACTGTATAAATCGACGGCGGCAATAAAAAAATAGACAACTAAATTTACATTCATAAATAACTACTCGCACACACTCACACATGTATACATACAATTATTGTCGGCATTTTGTTTTTGTGTTTTGCACATAAATAAACATGATAAATAACCTGGAAATGAGTAAATATATAAATATACATATGCATATACACTTAGTGAAAACCCAGGCATTATAAAGTTAACCCTTAACAACCAATTGCAAATAGAGCTCTGATTTTTATATAAGCAAACATCAAGCAAATAAAATCCCAATAAAAATATACTCTGTAAAATACGGATTAAATTAAAGTCCTTGTAATTTATATACCCTTAACACTTTTTAAATGAATGTCACAATAAATTAGCATTGGAAAGTCCTAACTTATAAATATTAATTAGCCTAGTGTACCCATTTAAGTTAACATATAGAGGCGTGTGATTAACAAACGCTCCAACTGAAAATTGTGAATAACCTGCTATGACCCTAAATTTCCCAATCGGATTGACGAATTTCGAAAATAACAACCTCCCTTAAAGATTTCAATCATCCCCTTAGACCCGGAATCAACATCCCGCACTTGTGCCTATTCATTTTAAATTATCAGAGCATTATATCAATCACATGCTCAAAGGAGAAGTCACGCATCATAATTACCATTATTTTTCCTGATCGGAGAAAAAAACAAAAAATCGATGAACGCTGAGGGAGCACATCAAACAAATCGGCTTAGATAAAAAGGCAGTCTGGATTAAATGAGAACGAGATTCAGCCATTAGAGAGGCAGCCAGAAAATGGCAGACATGAAAGCGAACCATCGGCTAAGACAAAATAAGGAATATGACTTCCCTGTTCGGCTATGTTTGCTGTCTGTGCAAATTTCTATTTTCTTGGGCTTGTGTCATTTTAGGCCTGGCTGGTCCCCGAGTCCTTGTGGTGGCGATTATCTTTCTCCGGGAACAAATTCCGTTTGAAGTCGAGAGCCCGCATTAAACTGGCATTGAATGTTTATTTTAATATGTGGCACATTTCCTGCACATTACTCGACCACGGCCACAGCGCACTTTCTTCCGCGTGATCAGCTCATTAAGCACACTTCTCGGATATACGAGTATATCCATATACATATACATGGACACGCAATCGGTGATAATCTGCAGTAACTAACCCAACCCAACCCAATCCAATACCGGCTGACCGACTGACTTCGCCGGGAAAATCAATAGCCAACTTTCGAGTCCGTGGCTCTGGAAATCAATGTTCTGGCTAATATATTGGCCCCACAAATCCTTCTGACTGGGATGTATGCTACGAAAATTGCATTTTAAAAGTGATTGCATACTTTGGGGCACTGACTGCCGCCATATTGGAGTTAAGTCGATTCGAAAAATATTTGAGGGGAGGTGCATATCGAGCCAGAAGCTTAAGTGCAATGCTGCCGTTGCCTTGGCAGTTGTTTTTGTTTTTCCACTGTCGTGTCGTTAGTTGGCGCCATTTTGAGCACAAAGACCAGATTTGCCAGCAGCTCAACCAAACGCCCACACACCCACACAACCAGCCCCCCACTTCCACCAACACACAGGCGAGAATCAGCGTGTGGCAGCCTTGAAATATGCTTTGTCTCCTCGCACACACAGACACACACACTCGGGGACAAATGAAGAGGGCTGTTTACCAAGGCACCCACACTCGGGGCTGCTCGCTATAGTTTTCCTTAGACACAGCGGTGATCAAAATTACAGTATTGATTAAATATTAATAAGAGCCGTTTATTTCTTTTGCAATCATTGTACATCATTTTTGATATTTTGATATTGCTTAATTATGTCATATTTTTTTAAAGACATTTATTATATATTAAATGAAAACTGAAAGAAAACATTAAGAGAAACATTTGAAAAACATTCATGTTTATTTTTTAGTTTTTATTAATATTTTAGATTTAAAAACTGCAAAATTTGAAAAAAGTATTGTTTGATCTCATATTGTGGATTTTAATTAAAGTCATTTCGGTTTCTTATATACAAGAAGTCGTTATTTTATATTCACTTTAACGAATAAATATATAGAACTTGTTAAAGTATAATTTAAAAAGCTTTTGGAAAATTACAATCAATATGTTTTTTTACTGACTCTGACCATTTTTATTTTTGTAAACTGCGATATCGCGTTATTGTTTTTATTAGACAACTTATAAACATTTATTTTTATAAATGATGAATACATTTTGCAATACAATTTATTATTGTTTTATCCGATTAAGTGTTTGATTTGGTTACAAAAATATTTTTCTTAATAATTTGCATATGCCCACTACTATTAATTTGAACACCGTTTGTATATGGGCCACTTGCCTGTGCGTGCAAAAAGTCTAAAATCGCTTCGTGACACAATGCGAGGGCATTCTTTATTTTTTGAAGGTACATACATGGGGGTACCATCCATCCCACGCGCCTTTTAGTGGTTTTGAAGGTAATCAAGTTTCAAGTTCAAAACTTGACGAGGTTCATGGCGCCGACCACCAGGAGGGGGCCACTGTTATTGTTGGGCTTTAGAAATTTCAGAAGTGTGACCCTGGCCCTGTGTCAAGAGCAGAACGGAACAGAAAGGATCCGAGTAGCTTTCGTGCGAGCTGCCCCCGGCAGCCTGGCTTGAGCTCGAGTCCTGGGCCTTGACTTGCAGCCACTTGTCTCCTGTCCCGACCAGGCCATCGGTCAAAGGTCAAGAGCTGGCGACAACCACGCGTACGAGCACGACATATGTGTAGTACATGCATGCATGTCCGCCAACAATAACAGCTCGCGGCGGGCAAATCAATTCTGGCTAATTACCCCGCGACATTCAGATGAACGCCGAACTCTTTAATTATTATTAAGCGCCATTCAATTAAAAGCCAAACAAAGCGCCCACAAAAATGTGGCGAGTGAATTGTAAATGCCAAATTAATGGACGCAAGCGATGCCAAACTGTTTGCAATGGAATGGAAAACATTAAAGTGCATGGATTATCCTAAGTGGAAAACAAAAGTTATTCATTTATTTAAATCAACAACGCCGCAGGATGTGAAACATCCCGAGGCCCTGGACACAGAGAAAGAATAGGGTTTTCGCCGGAATTGTGCCTTCATATCTTCGCATATTTACTTACATTAGGACATTTTCGTTGTATATTTGTATACAAATTGTTTGTTTAACTTTCATTTTTTGGGGGCATAAGGGAAAAAAATCAATAGTGTATCCTTTTATATTTACTGTATCCTGCATATGTTGGGTTTCTTGTTTGTACACATTTGCCTTTCGCCCGCTTTCGTTTATTCATGGGCGAACCATATTTGTTCTCAATAGGTTTAATATGGTTTATGCAAATGAAACAGCGGCATGCTCCGCTTTAAATTAAGATAACTCAGAGTGAGGCTGTGTTGACTCAACATGGGTATCCATTTTACTCGTATATGTGTCGTCGCCAATATTTATTCATCTCACATCTCTGGAATGATAGCTTTCCGTTTGGCCACAATAACCAGAATCTAATAAATATTGGTCTGGTCTATTTTGGTTAATTACTTAAGCCAATTTTGGAAAAAGGTGGCTGAAATTGATTGGGGCAATTCATTTATATATTCTTGGCTGACGTATTTTATTTCCCATCGGGGTGTCATTGTCCTCAATAATTTCATGAAGTATATTTAGCATTTCAATTCCATTTTCAGCCATCCTCAGACCCCAACCCCTTCGACCTATCCCTCATAGAATAATAAATAAAATTAGGCCAATAAAACGATGCCCGACGGGTGAGCAAACTGCGAACGATGAAGCCAAGACAGACATAACACATAAACCCAAATAAATTAACAAACTTGTTTATAACAATTAATCACTGAACACAATTTACATTTATAAATTATATGATATCCATGAAACCCATGTCCCTAATTCAAGAAATGCCTGGTCCTAGTTTTAGTCAACCGAAAATATTGCAACAAAAAAACAAAGAACATTTGATAAACTCCGATATTTGTACGTTTTTTCTTGTTCTAGATTTTTATAATGGAATGAGCCCCTTTTTCTCTCTATAAATAATATATTTGTATTTACAAAAGTAGACCAGAATTTTATTATACTCAATTAATCGTAAGTTTATTCCACCATTAAACCTATCTCAATGTAACAGTTTGTAGTTAGTTAACCGCTCTCTGTGAAGTGTCAGTCAACAATGTTGTTACCTTACTAAAGGATAAAGGTATCTTGCATCTACTTATACGAATGTATCTAACTTAATCACCTCAAACAGCCAACAGCAGCCACAGATCGTCCATTTAACCACATGTCCATGTACTATACAAGCTGAATGTCCTACACACACGTTCCACACACACACACACACACACACACCCCCAAAAAACACCACAACCCACCGAAGTAAATCCATGAGAGGTCGACGCGAAGAAAACTCCGCCAAATTGCTCCACTCACTAATTGCAGGCAGTCCCCGCGAGTCGGGCAACAATCGGGTGGACGAGTCCCAGCTGATACTGCGCATCCATCGAGGACGACCCTGCTCCACGCCCCAGCGCACCCCCCTCTCGGTGCACTCCATGTCCTCGACCCTCAGCGTGAATAGCAACGGGGGCGGGGGCGGGGCGGGCGGTAGCCGCAGGATTGGGTGCCTCTGCCGAGGATCATCTGCAAGGTGGCACCCCCAAGCGAGCCACCTCGATGCGTGTGTGCCGCCAGCGACACGAGAAGGTGGCCATCAAAGTGTCCTTCCCCTCCTCCGAGAATGTCCTTGACGTCTCGCAGCAGCAGCAGCAGCAGCCCCCGCCGCCCTCGCCCCACTTCGCGGTCATCAGCAGCGCCAACGGACGTCGGGCCTCCTTCAAGACGAGCCTCTTTGACATCGGCGAGACCACCTTCAATCTGGATGCAGCTGCTCCCGCCGGCGACCTCGAGACCGGCCTCTCGACCAACTCACTCTCGGCCAAGAAGCGGGCCGGCAAGCGGAGCGCCAAGTTCCAGGTGAAGCGCTTCCGCATGGAGACCAAGGCGGCCAAGACGCTGGCCATCATCGTGGGCGGCTTCATCGTGTGCTGGCTGCCCTTCTTCACCATGTATCTGATACGGGCCTTTTGCGACCACTGCATCCAGCCGACGGTCTTCTCGGTGCTCTTCTGGCTGGGCTACTGCAACTCGGCCATCAATCCGATGATCTATGCGCTCTTTTCCAACGAGTTCCGAATCGCCTTCAAGCGGATCGTGTGCCGTTGCGTTTGCACTCGAAGTGGCTTCCGTGCCTCGGAGAATTTCCAGATGATTGCGGCACGGGCGCTGATGGCGCCGGCCACATTCCACAAAACCATATCCGGATGCTCGGACGACGGCGATGGCGTGGACTTCAGCTGACTAATCGGCAACTACGAGGCGAGTCCGCTGCAGCGGAGCTCATCGCTGCCGCAGGAGGCGGAGTGCTCGGCATCCGTGTCCGGATCGGGACGACGGATCCGGCGCGGCGGCTTCTGCAAGGGACGCGTTCTCTAAAGAGACGTGGGTGGGGGGGTTGAGAATGCATTTCGCTTTTTTGATACTTTTGTAAGACGCACCGCCAGACGCAGACGCATCCCACTTCTCAAAACTGTCAGTATTCGCATTGAACGACGTTGTAACTGTATGGCAATAATTTTCATGTATTTACCTAGACCTAAGGCTATGCTAAACTACTTATACTTACTTATAACAAGAGATACAAATACATACATCACTATGAGATACACCTGTTAGACGTAAGCAGCCCATTGTTTTCAGTTCCGTTGTGTACATGTGTTAGGCGCAGAGGAAAACTCATTCGCATTAGTTAATCCAGATATATATTGAATGTATATGTATGTGTGTATAGCAGCTGTGTAAGTCGGCTACATTTTCAATAAAAGTATAAACGTACAAAGCGAAAACCAATCAAAGTAAGCACAAAAGCCGAAAACAAGTGCCGACCCCGAAGACAAAAATTGGCAAATTCCGGGCAACTCACAGGTATTGATTAGGAGGTCAACATTCCGTCACATCAAACAAGTAATACCAACGTGGCTAACTATACTGACCATTTTATACCCTTTCACTTTCAAAATCCCTTATTTTGGAATCAGTAAGATTGACTATTGGCCAAAAGTCAATATCCTTTTTTAGATCGAACCGAAGTTTTACGGTTCCCTTTAATTAACTCCTAGACTTAAATAACTAGACTTTTTTGGAATTTTGAAAAGGAACTAATTTTGAAGCTCGCACGACCTTAATAACCAATGAATTTTGAAGAGTTACGCTTACAGAAATATAAAACAATATCCTTACCAATATTAGTTGAAAAATAATTAATCTCGGAGATACACAGAAAACTTCAAGCAGATAGGCCCGAATAGGTCTTTTATAGCTGGGTAATTCATTGTTAGGCTTTCGGTTCCCTCTTTAATAGCAATCGAATGGAATAAGACCTTCTCGGTCACTCCCTCGTTAGTTGGCTGCCCATCCGAGTGTCCATAAACTCAGAGCAGACTTAAAGCCCTCGAGTCCTCCTTTGACAATAAGCCAGCTTTTAATGCGGCGGAAGGAGAAGCAACAGTGCCAGTAATGGCTCGAGTAAAATATTGCATTATTGCGCCGATTATTCATTACTCGTCGCGGGTCGAGTAATGAAAATGTATTCAGCAGTTAAACGTGCGTATGAGTAATAAATGCAGAGCGGAGGCAGCCAACATATGCGGAGGATGAGCGGGTGGAGGGCGAGGATTATGCAAATGTATGTGTTAATGAAATAAAGTTCGCTTTGAAGGCGGCTTAAAGGCGACTACACTCCTTGCAGGAGTCTAGACGGAGGGAGGGGGTTGAGGGAAACACCGAAACGAGGACTACGACATCGTCGAGTGCTTGTCGCGTTTATGGCGCAACATTTGCATAATTACGCGTTTAATTTGCTAAAGTGCAGGCAGGCTGGCAAGCTGGCAAGCTGGCAGAGGGCCAAAAGCCGTGAAGTAGGCAACGGATTCTGGGTGCGTGCAGCTGGGCGTATGAGCGATATTCGATAGGAGAGAGAGCGAGCGAAACAAGCAATACACGGGCTATACACCACCACCGACATGTAATACTCTGTGTACTTATTTTCTCACTTCCTCCCATCCTCCACCGACCAGGTTCCAAGGGCATCGGTTCGCGCTTCGAGGAGCAGCGCCTGACACTGAGGATCCACCGCGGCAGGGGATCCAACCAGCAGGACTCCATGCACAGCAACGGCAGCACCCAGAGCACCACCACCACCTTGGGAACCCCCTCGCCGGAGCGACTCTCCAAGTACGCCACTCGACGGCTGCACCACCACCACGACAAGATCAAGATCTCGGTGTCCTATCCCTCCAGCGAGAACATCAGTGAACTGGCCGGGCACGGAGACGGGGGTCACGATCACCAGCGACGGCCATCGGGAAACGCCCTGTTCGCGGTGCACTACAACGGCACCACTGGACGCGAGTCCACCGAATCGCATCTCTACAGGCAGCAGCAGCAGCACGGCGGCGCCAGTTCCTGCTACCTGCAGGTGGGCAAGGGTCTGCCGGAATTGGCCCGGCGGCAGAGCAACACCAGCGAGGCGGGTGGCGGCGGTGGCGGATCCGGACACTTGCGTCCTGCCAACAAGAAGATGGGCAGGCGGAACATCAAGGCCCAGGTCAAGCGCTTCCGGATGGAGACGAAGGCGGCCAAGACGCTGGCCATCATCGTCGGCATGTTCATCTTCTGCTGGTGCCCCTTCTTCACCATGTACATCATCCGGCCGTTCTGCCAGGACTGCGTCGACCCGCTCCTCTTCTCGGTGCTCTTCTGGCTGGGCTACTGCAACTCGGCCGTCAATCCGATGATCTACGCCCTGTTCTCCAAGGACTTCCGCTTCGCCTTCAAGCGGATCATCTGCCGCTGCTTCTGCTCGCGGCAGTCCGTCTCGCTGAAGAGTTCCCGTCGCGGATCCGACATGTCGGCCATCCGCATCCGGGCCCGAACGCCCAGCATCACGCCCAGTGCGGCGGCCCACAGTTTCGGGGACGAGAGCGAGCTGCACCACTCCGAGATGGACGACCCCAGGTGACGATCGTTTGGTCCCAGCTCGAGCTCGCAGAGCAGCTTGGGTGGGTTGCGCAAGACGAGTCTCAAGGTGCCCGTCTACGAGATTTGCCATCCGCTGGTCATGGAGACGGCCTGCTACTCCTACGTGGAGGCCACCAGCGAGGGCTCCTCCGTGGGCGGCGGAGGTGGAGGTGGAGGTGGAGGGGCGGGCCCAAGCGGACGCAGTTGTAGCCGCGGGAGATGATGGCGCTGCGCGGGACGGGATCGGGGGCGATCCCCATGCCGGGTCAGCGGCCAAGACGAGTGGTTCGCATCGAGTACAGCGATGCCAGGGTGTAGGATTCGCCAGCTGAGAGGGCTACACTGAGGAAAAATGGAAGCAAAGGTTATAGGCGAGGGTAAATTGAATACTGCTTAATCACCAAGTAGATAAACACTTACAAATAAATTTAATGATTTATTTTCTCTGAAAGCATGAAAGAATTCTCAATATCCAACAACATTTTCTCATTCAGTATTGAAGAATTCCTTTGTCTGAATTTCCAGGGCAAGTTAGCCTTAACGAAAGCAAAATAATCTTGTTTAAAGACTGCTTACACCAAAAACAAATAAATCATAATAAGTTCCTGGCCTTGCATACCTTTTTCCCAATTCCTAAAGCGACTTTTTCCTTAGTGTAGAACTCAGTCGATAAAAGCAAAATAACCGCCTGAACCGGCAACTAAAGCAATCCTTTGTTACAAAAGGAAGTCGAAATGCCAGGAAGGAACTGCTCCTTCTGCCTCTGTGAGCCAACCATTGTACATTGTACCATAGACATCAGGCTTCGGCCTGCAACGAGTTATATTGTAGGATAAGATGGCCAAATGGCGACGAGTTGTGTATATATAGTCTAGCTAGGATATCACTGGCACTTGAGAGTTGTACCTTTTAACTTCCGCATGAATATTGATATCTGGTTGTTACCACTATGCAGAAACCAAATTGTTGCTTAACGCAAATAAAACATTACCCAGTGCTAAACAAATTCGTAACTAGTAAAGTGTTAGTGTTGTACTCTCGGCTCGAAGAGATTATTCTGAGATATATCTGTGTCAAGAATACATACATGTTAAATGCAATAAACAAACCCCTGCCTACCAACCCAATGTACGCATAAAGGCATATGCATATACTATACAAATATACGATCCTCAAGTTAAACGTTGTTTTGTGTGCTACAAATAAAGGAAGTTTCATTTATTCGGCAACTTAAAGTGCAAGTGTCTATTTCGTTTTTCATTTCTCTCAAGGCAAGGGCTTGCCGGTCTAAACGGACAACCATGGTTTTAATTAAGCGGAAGTACTCGGAGCACGGCGCTACAAAGTCGCCTTAAAACGAAAGGGGCAGAAGGTGAGTGCGATAAAAGAGTTGCAGCATAAAGAAATTGCCGAGCTGCCAACTACAAAGGCCAAATTAAAATCTGGAATACCCGAGGCACTTCCGCTAACTGAATTAAAGGCTGAAGTGGGTACAGTACAGAACATAGCTGGATAGTCAAATTCAAGAGTGTATACACAACACTTCCACGCAGAACACATTCGCGTTGATTGCTCCCTCATGCGGCCACATAAAATAGACAACAGAAAATGAGTCGGCCGTCTAATTTATGCCCAGAGTGGAGATTCTCACTAACTAAGCAACTTTGCGCCCTCTCCCCGTGAAATCCAATTTATTTGCTTCACTTTCCGCTACAAGAAAGTGTTTTATTTGATGGAAATCAATTGATAAAAGGCATTAACTTGGAGCTAAAGTTTCATGGACCACTCCCTTTGTTGTCCTCCATAAAACTGGCGGAGGAGAGAAGCCATCACGGGCAGATAAAGCCGACTGTTGCCGAACAAACTGAACAAGACCACCCAAAGTTTGTCTATTAACCTTAACAAGATATACCCAGATCCTAAACAGTGCCGCCCTTGTACAGATTCATTTTGCAGGCTTAATTAATCAAATTGAGTTTAATTTTCAATGGCTTTCACCTGCTTTCCGTTTCAAGGGGGCCAAGGTAAAATAGCTACAATTTGAGCCTGCACCCTGGAATTCGGGCAATTGGCCAAAGTTTGCCATTAAATATACATGTATACATGGCAAATTTGCATAAATATGGCAAAAAGTTAAGGGGCCGAGGGGAAAGGTGGTTGATAATTGGGCTAGCAAATGGTAGAACAAACTGGGTAGACGGCATAAATTACAAAAGTTCTTGATTTCATTACGTAAACCACACATAAACAGAAGACAAGCAACCAGTTCGGACCACTTTAAATGTTCCTCCTTGACTGCCAGTAAACTCCTCTTTTTGGCCCTTCCAATGCCTTTAAATTGAGGGCTCAGGTTCACAGATATAACCAAACGGCAGTGAACCGTGTTTCGAATGGTCGACTGGCCGTCTGACCAGCTGTCTGAGTGCTTTTGGCTTTGGATCTTTGTTTGCACTCCAAGGTGCAGATAGATGGACACACCGGCCAGCAGATACAAAGTACAGATACAGATACAGATACAGAAGCTAACGGTGCTGAAGGCAGCCAAATACCTAACGCTCTACGACAATCGATAGAGCAAACATTCCAATCGCAACCGAGGGTCTCTTTAGGGAAATAGCCGTGGCCACACAAGTCAACTGAATTCCAGATTTAAACTATTTGATTGTGCTAACTAATTTTAACACATCCGAAAAACGCAATAAGAATTTCAGCATCAAAAACACAATTCTTCAACCTTTCATACATACAACTTTCTTTACATTCATTAACATTCAAAGGAAAAAGACAATTCATTTTGGTATTATTTTGACTTTTATTTACTGATTTACTTACAATATTTTATAAAAAGTTTTTTGTTTTAGAAATCTTCTAGTTTACCTTTTTTATTTGTACCCAGTTTTTTAAATGAATTCATACATATTTATATAATGTATTTCAAATCCAAATATTAATGTTTATTGTGCAAGAGTTCGGTATGGTAGAAACGTAAATCTTGAATACCAACTAAAGCATAACATGTGGACATTCCATGAATTTTGTTTTTCTTTGAGCTTGCCAAGTTTTTCCTGCCCCTTGGGCAACTTCGATTTTGCATCAACCACTGTCGGCAGCAAAAAACAGCCAGCAGCAAACACAAATAAGTCAGCTTGCAAAACTATAAAGCGGATTGACAAATGGAGCGGAAATAAAAACGTAAGTTCGAGTGTTTCCCAGATCAGGGCAACAGCTACGAAGAGACATGGCCAGCAAACACAGTTCGCAAGAAAGTGAAGATGGCTTAGTGGGCTGCAAACTCAGCGAACTGTTTACACACTCTTACGGGCCAAAAAGTTTCCCATTTGGCCAGTCGAGAAATGTATCGAACATTGTTATCTGGGCTTTAAGCTGCCGCTGGCCTTGTTAAGTGCAAAAGTTTGACAAGTTGTTAGTTAACATTTTACGATAGCTCGAATAAGTTCCAAATCGCTGAAATAACAGTTACAGCTGAAACGAATTACTTTAAAGTAAGAACCTATTAAATTCCCCACAGCATTTATTATTCATGGGCAAATGTGTGTAACTGTTAATAAACGGTGCTCAAATTCCTTTCAATCAGCCAGTTCCTTGTCAATGCTATTGGCTTCCTTTTTGTCGAGTACAAGGACACGCATTTAATTGGGGCTCTGTTGTTGTTGTGGCCCCAACCAAACCGAGTGGTGACAATTTTCGCAAAGCGTTAATTCCATTAATTTACCCCTAATTGTTATGGCCGCCTGAAGTGCAATCAACGGACAGGCCCGCCGGGCGAGTATTTTGCTCCCGAAGAAAAACAAAAAAAATGTATATAATACCCAGCACGCACACACAGGCCGAAAACAATTTTTGCAACCCACAGACAGTCACAGGACCTGCCCTCCCTTGGGGCAAAAGTCCGGCAATGACGCGTTTAACGAACAAGCCAGCGGGTCCTGCCATTCGCAGGACCCTCCTGCGGTTGCACGGCTGTCAGCAAAGTGCCACCTGCCACCTGCCACCTGCCACGGCCACCTGCCCCACCATTTTGCAGTTCAATAACCCATTTCCTCTCCCACGATTGCCACCAAATACTCTCACAAAATACAAAAAAAAAGGAAAAATCCAAACGAAACAAAAAAACACCGCCAAGAATTTCAAGTTTGCGTTCAAGCAGCCAATCCACAAAAATGGCAAACAATTTGCTTTTATGGCGAAACAAAAAACACAGAGAACATTGCCAGTATATCCTTGAGCCAGGACATTTTTCGGCTGCTCCTACTCAGCCCCTCGAAGGCCTCTCAGTCGATTTCCGGCTGGAATTTTTGTTTTTTTTCGATATTCCCATTTTCGTTTCGGATTTGTGTCACTTGATAAGTTGTTTAGTTATTGTTGCTGATAATTTGTTGACGGAAGCAGACGTTCAGCTCAATTCAATAACTTATTTGGCCCGATTCAATTATGATATGTCAGAGGTCGCTCGAACTAATCGCTGACTTGCACTGGATTTCACACAGTGGTAATATTATTTCGCAGATTAAATAAGAAGAGGAAAACTTCCTACTAAACACGATTGTATTAAATGCACAAAAATTAAATGGTGCCTTCGGTCAAATGTGCCTATATAGGAAAACTTATAACGGAAAAAAAGAAAGAAACAGAATACAAAAGTTTTTCTCATCCAATTAGCTAGTTGACCTCGAGCACTTTGTGTAAAGTTGAACTGAAAGCAAAGGTCAGTCTTAAGCTGTATGTATTTACACATTTGAGGTTTGAGGGGAATTATAAATTACCTGACTAAAGACACCTTTTAATACAGCTTAAAAACTTTCGATAATTGAGTGTTTTCAGTTCTAAGAAAATCATAATTTGTTGTTTGTTCGCTTACTTAGTAATTTATTTCGAGAAATCCATTGGTAAAATAAATTCATTTGAAATTGCGTAGAGATTACAAAGACCAAATATGACAACCGATTTGATAGACCTTATTTGAGAGTTTTCTGACAGAAAATTCCAGAAAATTCGACTTACATCCCTGTCTATTTTCTGCTGCCGTATTTGCG